TAAAAACGTTCTTAGTCTGAGCCGTGTCCTTGGACGCACATGCTTCCCACTATTCACAGGTTCCACATTTCTACTTCAGATGTATTTCATTGTATGAGCTTCAGGAACTGCCTCTGTACAGGGGATTTCCGAAGATGCCTTTGAGCAAATACATACCAGACAGGAACGTCCACAAGGGGAGTGGGGGGCAAACCCCAATGGATTGGCTGCACTACCGTGTACCCTGTTGTACAAGGTGGTCTTTCCGCGGTGTAATCCCCAATCGGCCTGTCTCTGATGAGAGGGGAAGGGATGATGGGGACCAGGTCTGCGTTTTTTGCACGTTGGTCCTCGATGGGGAAACTCACCCACATTTAGCCTACCACGTAGCTCGAAAGACTGCTAAGTGGGAGAATCAGTTTGCCGTTCTCAGCATTGATGGTCAGATGCAGTAACTCAATGTGGCCTGGGTGACGAACCGCCCTGGCGCGATCTGATTTGATGGGGGAGGGTGCAAAGTTGATGCTATTACGTACTATACTCGGAATCCCACGCGAGCCGCCACTGCCTCCGCAGGCAATGGTGGTCTCTGTCGCAGTAGGAAACCTAGCTAAGACATGCTGGAACAAATTTCACTCTATAGGGTTCAAAGTGGAGACGGATGTTGACGGTCGTCCAAAATACGCCATAGGGACCATTTATGTTCAGGGAAGAGTGAAACCGAAATACGTAGTAAACGATCGTGCCCGCGCCCATTTTCATTCACCTTGGCCTTGTCCCGCCATTCGAACGCGACGAGCGTGGGAAAAGAGTGTGAACCAAATGATTCCTTTCATTATACTCAAACATGCGCACAGATCGCTGATCCCCCGAGACAGTGGTGGTCATAATCGTTTGAGACGGGTGAACTTCCATGCAGTTTTGAAATATACGATTGAGGTCGTGTTTGACTAAAGACACGTGCTACAGAACTTCTCTCACAGATGGAATACTTTATGGGTTCCGTTTCGAAGTTTCATTCCTTACAGGTGAGTTATATAGATGGGAATTTTGCTAACCTGTAAAAATCTAATTGATCCTGCCAAGGAAGGCAGTGCTAGGGACGTGCCATTTAAGTAGTATCGTTGCGGGTTCTCCCTGGTGAGAGGAAAAAGGCGTGGTTTTCTGCGAACAAAGCATATGGAGTTGTTCTTTACACTTATTTTCACGACCCAAGTGAAGTTTTTTGGTAGGACACAAAAATAAGTACTCTCTACTGGCTGGATACATTCATACGGGGTGTCTACTTATTTGGTGTAGGTAGCTTGAAATGCGCTTGTAATGATATTGGAGACTCTTTGTCGTTAACAGCAGCATCCTCACCTGTCCTATTAGGTTCGGTCGACCGAGTTGATCCCTGCTTCTTTTACCTGACAGTTCGACCGTGTGCTCCACGGCAAGGTGAGTGCAGGCACGGCGAATTGCACGTGAATTATTTTATGGTAAGAGCAGACTTGCGCGGCACATACCGCACTCTTGCCCCATCTGGGCCCGGTGTCAAGACATAGTTAAGAAGACCGGAGGCAGGGGAGGGCGCAGGTGGCTAGCACGACCGAAACCGCACCTAGGCGTGCCCCTGATCCACAGCAAACACCTGACCACGATTTTTACCAGCAACAGCACAACGGGTCAGAAAGACGAGGACGCCTGGACAGCCATGCTCACGACCTGTACACCCAGTGGGAGCGCAAGTGCATCTACTGACAGGGAACTAGGTGCCAGAGAACTGCCAGTGCACACTAGGCTGCGAGAGCCATGGTTTACTGATACTGGTAGAGCACAGGCTTTCAGACCTTTTCACCTCAAAGTGCGACACGTGGCCCTTGATGGGAGTTACAATGTTAAATCCAGCAGTCTATAAACGGATCTGATGCAAACGGATACTCAAATATAATCAACACAACGTTGTTGATTGCACCGATTTGGTTGCCTCGATGACACCGAAAACTAGTACAAAGCCGTTCATCAGTGACGCAATTCTAAACGTGCCTACCGAGTAGATGAGAAAAAGCAAGAATCGTAAGACTAAATTCCACAAATAATTTGATCTAGAGACTTGTTCACTAATTCGCTTTACTTCCCCCATATTTCTGACTATGCCACTCTGCAAAGCACATGTATCCTGATGCGCAACACAATCGGACTGTGAGTGCCAGTGAGCTTCGTAGGACTTTGTTGGTTTTCTGCTAGTCGTCCGTTAGGCCGCAGGAAAACGCCAGTCACCAATGTCGACAACCAACCGCCCTACTTCTATTTCGTACCATAACTCTGGTTGGCAGTTGTATACTTCAACTGGTGAAAACGGCAGTTTCTGTTTACGTCTTATCTTACCGTTTCCGCTGATTACCTGGTCTTAAGCCACCCTTCTGGTCTCGTGAAAACGTTCGCACGGGCATTCCCGATATGCGTGCATCTAAATCGCATACGTAGACACTATAGGAACATGACTCAAGAGCTACTCATCCCCGAGCCCACCGTTCTTCATTTCAGGACACAGTTAAGGACCCAGATTAAATGTCGAAATTTGGTATCTGCAGGGTCTCAAATTGCCAAATGACACATTTGTTACCGGATAAATTTGAGGGTGTCCCGATAGAGATAGCAAGTACACTTGAAATGGGTTAGCTTTGCTCGGCAGGTGGAAGACCATTCCCATTCGAACATACGCAGCGGAACCCGAACTACAGCACAGGACTGTAGATAGGGAAGGCATTACGGTTACCGTCTCCACGGTAGACGACCCCTAGCACCTGACTGCTGCTCGGGACAACTAAGGTGGCTGTGGCCACCTACTGGCTACCGGTAACTACAGCCCTCCGGCTATTTCCTTCTTCAATTACCCAGGCTTGATGGCGTATGTCAGTATTAAAGGCCGTAGCTACTTTAACGGGGCGGGTGTTTGCCACAAATAACGGCACGAAGCTTGTCCTACTGGCATTAATTCCTAGCCATTACTTGTCCTATGTATAAACTCGCTGCTTGCGTGAGTCTGCCCGTAGCAAAGCAGACATACGCCGCATATGTCCCAATCCCTCTTCGCACACCTGCAAAATTTTAATGGCAAGGCAATGTCTATCAAAAGATTTCTCAGGACTGCCTTACCCTCTTCCAGCCAATGTGCCAGTGGCTTGTCGGCTGACGACTGGTGAGCTTAGGTTCAGTGGCTGAAGTGGCATCTGCTCCGTCCATTGCTTATCACACACATTAACAGTAACAACTGAGGCCTTGAAGAGAGTCAACGCAGCCCGGCAAACGCATTTCATGAGACAGTAAAAAAACATAGGTTCCGTCTTGGTACAGGGCAACAACTGCGCAGCCTGCTGGGAGGGGGGTGGGCTTAACGAAAACGTAAACGCTGGTGGAGGCCGTGACCCTGCCGAATATCATCTGAACGCTGCTTTCGCGCCTGATACCTAAAATCTTATAAAGGATAAATTCCACGTAGTTGTGCTCGCTGCCCGGCTGCAGTACGACCTTTTATGTCCTTCTGAAAGTGCCGATTGCTTACAAAAAGGTGCTCAGGAGATAATTCCTTGGCGAATTTGAAGCGAAGACTATATAAGAAACAGAGAAAATAGGGTCCACATAAATGGCAAATGGGCTGCCCGCTCCAGATCGTATAGACGTCCAACGAGGTGTGAGGGGATGTTGGAGACTGCACTGCGAATGATATATACGTTGTAAGTTGGTATAAGGCGGAAGTCAGAGACCCCTGTGGAATAAGGCCAAGAAAGTGAGAAGCCCCGACAGACGTCCGAGGATGCGACCACTTGAAAGTTGGGAGGCAGCGCTCGCACAAAGTGAAGCGTTCTCAACCTACGGGGAAGGGGAGGAAGAAACAATGAACGAGAGGAAAGATATACTCCTGCATATGCGCTAAAAATGCCTCGCGCACCAACTTCCGTCATGTACCGCACTTGGGACGCCCAAAATCCGCAGTACCCAACGTTCTTTTCGGAAAAACAGAGCGGATTTCCTGTTCGGGTGGTGATTGCTCGGCATGCTTGAATCATATTCAGCCGAATAATGTTCTGAGTTTTAGCTACGATGAACAGATCTACGGTAAGCAGACTGCAGCTTTCATTATGCTCTAGTGGAGGACCGTCGTGTAGAGTCTACCCGGGACTGCTGTGGCAATAAAGCTTCTTTTGTGCGTTCAGAAAATTAAGGTATATGGATGGCGTGTTAGCAATAACCTCTACAGGAGAGGGAAAGTTGAAATAGATCACTCCGAAATTCAGCGAAAGCAAAATGTTCAAAAGCCATGAATTGCCACTTTTATACTACAGTCTGAAAATAACTGTCAATTATTGCTTAGATTTAGGGAAATCAGAAAAGCGAATTTACCTTGTAGGATACCATTTGGCACGTGGCCGGAGATGGCGGTTCGGCTCTGTAGGTCTGGGGTCTAGGAAAGGCCTCGCCGCGTAAAGTTACTGTTAAGGGGAAATAAATGAGCAAGCGGATTGTCAGTACACGACGACCTGCTTGGATGCACATGCTCGTTACAGTAAGACAGTCGCAACGCAGGACGAGATGATGCACCGCAGAAGCCCCTTTGAAATCGACGGATATTCAAAATCAAACGCTAAGATGTGTCAAATGTCCCAAAAAACGAAAAGTTGAGTCCACTCAACCGAGACGATGAAGTATCCCGTACATAGAAGAGGTCTCCAAAGCGGTGGCTAGATCCCTTTGCGTCACCAGGAATAGAAATCTTCCACAGGCTAGACTTGAGCTTCCAGCAGCAGGTGAAGTGGCCAAAAGAACCCGTCCCAATCCAGGACAAGTCGTTAGTTGTTTCCCGACTTCAGTGGAACTTTGGGGAGGGCAACTATGCCGGAGTAGCCAGCCGAAGACTAAGAACGCGAACATATGAACATCAGTTGATCTTGCGGAGGTTGGATTTAAAACTAAAAGTGGTAGCCCACGTCGCGCAGACAGGACACATCCTTCATTTTTACGTTATAGAGATTTCGGTGCGCGGACGACGATTAGGCATCAAGGTGGAAACTCAGATATCTATCGACCGCTCGGTAAATCGCTTCATGAACTTGCCTGTTTCCTAGCTGGTTTTGCAAAGACTCCTGACAAGAAGCAGTGAAACTGTCGGGCCACCGACTACTAGCATGGTCAACGAGGCGGGGGCGAAACAGACCGCGATGTAGTAGGATCCTCTTCTCAGGTACTGTCGGCACTGACGTGTTTTGCATCAAGCAAAACGCCAATGCAACCCACGGGTCATATGATGAGTTCTGCAAGAGACTGGAGACCATGAAGATGGGCAGTCACTCGTGTTCGCGCCCGCTTTTCAATGTGACCGTCGCTTGAGTTAAAAAGGAGCTTAAATTGCTGTCATGGCAAACACCAAACAGGCCCGACAATTCCTCGAAGCCTGGCACTCTAACACGACTAGCATCAATCGCCATGTCGATCTGCGTACCCGGCCGACTGACTTGCGCCCACGACCGAAAAACAGTCGCTAATCCATACCCGGCCATGCATAATCACACTATTTCGCCACCCCCTACCCCAAACACAGTGAACCGCAACTGCAATCCCTAACACCTCTACGTTGGATCAGTGACCTCTGCCCGCATGCCGGATAGAGGACCATTAAGTCCACTGTCCGTAGTCACATTGAATCGTCATCCCCCCTACCCTCCAGCAAAGGGAGCCGCAACAGTTCCCCCTTCCCTCCCCCACCACAGACCTTAGCCTAATTATGTCTCCATCCCCCCTTTCATACATTAGTTGCTTACCTGTTAGTGGCTGCCGTGTCACGCTAACCAATTTTGTCTGACCATTTCACTTTGTCCTCTGTTTATTTTGTCCGACGACGGGTTGGTGCACCAGCTCGAAAATTCACGAGTACAACTCGGTTTTTTCCGACGAGTCTTCTATCTTCTTCATATATATATATCCGCCCAGAAATAACACAATGTAAGAAAATACTATTTAACCTTCCGCACAAAGAAGGCAATAGGCAAAGTAGGATTGTCCTAGATCAGATTGTCAACCTGGTCAATGAAGTCGCTAAAAAGGATATCCTTTAAACGGGTCCCATAACGGTAGCGTCGCACACAGCCACAATTGCAGTTAACAGCCGCACTTTCGCGTGCCATCGCAGTGACCACAAGAAGGAGATTGGTATCCGGGATTGAGCTGACAATCCAGTCGCTAGATGGAAAAACGAGTAACTAGAATAGTCAGTTATCCAGCCCTGATTATAATGTTAGTTTTAAGTATGGAACGATGGAAATCAGCACTGTTAATCACCATGAAAGCTAGCAACCGTAATACAGATAGGAATGAAATCTTCGTGAAAGATTCTAACTTTAAGATCTTTGAGGTAGATGAAGTAGAGGTTGGATAAAATCAAGATGGACAGTGCCATCATAAAGAATCGTTGGCACTGTATTTTCGAACTACTACTTTCTTCCACGGTGTAGGAAGTTGTACGACGCCGAAACAGGAAAATATAGGGGTGCCATGATTAAGGCATAAAAGCCTTTTTAAGCCACTGTTTCATCAGAAAAATACCGCATCAGTTCAGCATTGATACATGACTGCCCATGAACGCGACACTGCTAAGTCAAACAGTGAGAACTAAAGGGACTGTTAACTGGTGTGTTATGATTTTCCACTGCATGTTCAACGTGAGTCTGTGGTCCACTTGCTTGGATTCTGTCCTCTCTGGGGCATTTTGAAAATATATAGCGTTGCCAAAAGATAGACCGTAGTGAACTCAGGCAATTGCCGTTTCGGTCTTATTCTAACCCATATCGGCCGTTCATTTCCTTATCTAAAAGTAAGACCGACTGCGGATCTATCGGGGCAATGTCAACAGTCGTTTCTATCAGAACTACACGGGTACTTAAGAATAAAGTAGAATAGAAGTACATCAAGAAAATGGAAACTATTGTACCTGCCATTTTCGACTTGTCTAGTTTTATCCATCAAAATAACGATAATCGCTTGCCTCACCGGAGCAAAATCTGTCTACAGTGGTCACGATAGGGCGGTCGACAAGTGTAGTCAGTAAACTATCAGACGAAACGCCAACCGAAATTCTGTAATCCGCTTTCGATTAGGAAGGATTACTTAAATGGGATTGTAATACTGATTAACATGGAACAGAATCCCAAGATGTTTCAGTCATGTCGAGGGAAGTCTTGCGAATGCACTTATTTTCGGCCGCATGCAAAACTGCACTCGACAAAAAGCGACTACTTCAGTATCACGCCTTTTTCATTTACTTTTGACGCCATTGCGAAGTCAGATATATTTTAGAGAAAAAACAATAAAAGTTGAGGTAGAAATTCGTGTTTTCTTCAAATTTTGTGATCAAGGAAAGGGTAAATTTGTCCTCGTGAGATTTTTTAAGACCACCAAATGTCCATTCAAAGTACATTGTATTAATTATTAAGTATGCAATACAGAGCACAAAATTGCAAAATTAATCTTCTCAAAAGCGTAGAGAAATGCATGTTTTTCCTTATGCAGAAAGTGTGCAACATGTGGTTTGGGGACTTTAAGCGAAAATTCAGCTGCGGGTTGGGTTCAAAACTTTTCGAGGACTAACAGACCTTCTTACTATTTAGGTATATCCCGTCTTCGAGCACAGAATTTGAAGAGGTGAGTCTTCTACCAAACGAGTACAGCAAAGGGTATTTTTCGATTACGTTTTCCATAAAATATACTTGAATTTATAAGGGCGTCGAGAGTAAATGGATAAAAGCATGCCACTTAAGTAGCCATTTTTTACATGTGGCCGAAAAGAGGTGCATTTAAGAGCAGGCCTCCTGGCGCAGCTGACACATTTCAGGATTATGTTGAACGGTAATCAGTATTACAATCTCACCTAAGTAATCTTTCTTAATCGAAAATAAATTTCAAAATTTCGGTTGACTTGACTTGTCGATTGCTCTGTCGGTATAACTGTAGGGCAAGATTTCTCGTTTGCTCTGACGAGACAGGCGATAAGTGTTATTGTGCACGGTAAAAGAGGCAAGCCGGAAATCGCAGATACTGCATTTCTTGTTTCCATGATGCACACCCTCATTCCACTTTACTTAAAAGCTGAAACGGCGGGACAAGATTTCAGAGCGTTGTCTGTTTGCACGAAATCAGTGAACGCGAAAGAGGCAGTTACATCTATTGGCCTCATAAATGAAGCTGAAACAATTTTTCCGCTCGTGACTCTTATTGCAATCAGTCCGTCAAAGGCACACCTTAACGGTAATTTTGCCCAATCGGCGATGTAATCAAGCCAAGCTGACCTTGGTTACACTCGTAAGGATGTTGAGGAAGGTCTTCTACCAAGAGTCAGTGAGGTATGAAATCTTTTGGGGGGGCGAAAATACCCTCTAGTCTTATTACAGCAAAAATTTGAAATCCGACAGGATTCTAAAAAATATCAGCAACGCACGGCCAAAGACTGCAAGTATGGGTGGAGCTAGAGGAGAGGAAGAAAATTAGGAACACACAAATATTAACCTTTGATTTTACTTATAAAATCACCAGCTTAACACGGAGTTTTTTCTAACAATTTTACCCCTAGAAGTCAATAAGACCTTAAACAATGTGGGAGATAAAACCGTCCAAATTTTTATTTTCTTAATCAAAATATGATCGCAAAAGGAATGCAAAAAACCCTTACTGAGAGGATATGAGGAAGAGACCCGTAGCGAACTCATACACGTTTCGAGTTCGCAAATAGTCTTTAAGGAATGATGTATATATGTATGTTTTAAGTGCGTTCAACGATCGCGTTACGGGCCTGCTTGCCCGTTGTGCCTTAATGCACAACCTAGATCCCTCGCAGGCAGTCACACAATGACCAGTGGTATATGCTGAGGATTATCGACAAAGGCAAGACTGGGGTGGCAACTTCTGGCTTATTAGCTGTCGTCAGTCAACCTGGGGATCGAACCTCAGGTGTTTCAAGACCTGAGGCTGGGTAAGGATGGCTGACAACGGTTTGTTAGCCAGAAATGTCCATCCCAGCCTCCATTGTCTTAGCCGATGATCTTCTGCACATACAAATTCAGGTTAGAGGATTAGACTTTTGATCGGCAGTACGCGGGTTCAAGCATCAGAGATTGCAAGCCCCGGCTTGGACTGATGACGGCTAAGAAGTTTGAAACGTAAATTCCAGTCTCACTTGCCTTTGTCAGTAATGTCATTTTGCACATACATGTATGTATAAAGAATGATAATGTGAGGTTTCTAAAGAGCATGATGGCTTGCGTTTTACCTGCCCGATACAGAATGACAAGAAGGGAGGACATGTTTGGAATAAGAACCCAAATAATAAAAGGTATGAGATATAGCTGAACTTACGCGTTCCCACACGCGAGACAGTAGGTGCCAGAGTGGATTTTAGGATGGAGTTGCAGCGCCTCCCGTCCCAAGGACTTGCCTCTTTCCGTTTTTTTCGGATATTTCTTACCGTAGTTTTTGGAACCGTGTTTTGATTCAGCAACCTGCCCTGCGGCATAGGCCTCCCTGTTCAGGAAGAAGACACTGTAGCGTTGCGTACAGGAGTCCAGTGGCTGTCTACAGTCATGGAGAAATTCAATGAAATGGCTCATCCTCTGCCGCACAGCTTCACACATGACCTCACATGCCTGTCGACCAATGATGTTGCTACTATGCCCAGCTGCATGACATCGCATCTGCACTACGCGCTGAATACATCGTAAGAGTGCTCCCGGGACAACTGGTGGCTTAGAGACAGTTTTCTCAGTCTTTGTATCATTCACGGGCGTATTGTTCAAACCCGGCACGCCACGCAGTTGTATCTCCTCCTTCTCCGGAAACATCGTACCCACATCCACAGTTGTCCCTTCGGCGTCTGTGCTTGCTGACGGCATCGGCTGCCCCACACTTTGGGACGCTGCAGGCTTCCCTAGTACAAGCGTTGGTTCGTTCATGTAGCAGGCGTTTAACTCGGAGAAGGCCTGTTGTTGCATCAACCAAGGATCGTCCGGTTCTTCGTAGTTGTAACCACCACCAAGACCACCACTCCCAAAAGGAAAGACGAAGTCATTCGCTCGATTAGACGCAGAAGCCGCTTCCCCGAGAGGGGTACTGATTGCGGGCTGTGTGTCTTTTGGCACACTGGATTGTCTACCCTTGAGATTCTTTGATTCTTCCTTAGTTTTAGTTGGAAGTTTGGAGTTTTCTTGCATAAATCGTGGTTCCTGTGGGGTGTCCGTCAACTTTAGGACTTCGTAGTCACCGTAGAAGGCGGGGGGTAGCATGGGGTCACTGTCCACCCTGTCTTGCCGAAGTTGATTCGCAAAGTTGAAGTCCGACTCGTCACGGCTTTGACTTCCGTAGGCGTAGGGTGCGTTTTCAGGATTCTGTTTTTCCTCAGGATGTAGTGTTGAGTAATCGTCAAGACCTCCGGATATCTGTGGCAAGTCACGCCAGATGCTTGCTACAAACAGGAGAGTTTAAGTTGTAGAAACGTTCAAGTTCTACTAGAAATAATGACGTCAGTAGGAGTCGAAATTCGGCGAATGGGGACTTTACGGAGATGTGAATGGCTACATGGCTGTGTTCGACAGCCAAGTCTTGGAAATTACGGAACCATTGAGGTTTTTAATTTCTTTAGACATATCCTGAGAGGACCTCTAAAGTCGAAGGTCCAAAACGAGTTTTCTCGGCCACCTGGCACGCGATGGCTGTAGTTACTACTGTAGCCCACTTAAACCAAAGAAACCCGGTTGCAACACCTGTTATAGCAGGTAAGAATAAACACACGTCTCATGCCTTTAACCTACACATCTGGGCATACAGAAGGGAAGGACGGAAAAACAGCATGAAGAATTCAGAAAAAACAGGAACAAAACAGTTTTCATCAAAAGTTGCGGGGACTGTCCTGTTCTTTTCCTTTGCTAAAGCAGGAGCGTTTGCTGCTTCAATAAAGGCACATTTATCGCTGGTTTGATGCTCATGGAACATAAAAGAACACTCACAAACAAGTAGACAATATCCCATTTATACAAAAAGTTTCCAAATTTAACCTCGTTTCCTTCATGTCTTCTGCGACCAAGTGTAGTCCCGACCGGGAACGCAAATACGTGCACATGAGCTATGGAGGGGAGGAAGGATTGTGCACCAAGTTGTCGAGGGTGCAGCTTGCTTAGAAACTGGGACGCACCTTGGAGTGGTGCGGCGTACCGCGTACCTATCCGCAAAATCTAGATATTTCGCTCGACCGCTATCTGTCCAGACTGGAGTGACTTCTGTTTAGTGCGATCTGCCTGAAAACCGTAAGAGCCGAGGCAGTATGTAGTACGCGAAAGGCATAGATCCGGCCGGGATTAACCACATCCTCTTCTTCTCTTGAAACCGGGTTAACAATCGTATCTCGGAAAGGTGACGACTGGCGGAAGAACTCGATGATCAAAGGAGCGATCTGAGGCTACCCTACTGGAAGACTGGTTGGCGAGTAATTGGGGATCAGTCAGCATGTAGTACAGGTAGACGTCAATTTGACCTCGTCAGCCACTGAATCCATGCACATATATAATCATCCTGACTTTGCGTGACCAGTGGAACGTGGTGAGCGTTGAAACAGGGAGTGGAGTTGATGCGGCGTAAGTCTACCATGAGCAGGTTTTCCATTAAAATACCCGAGACAATGGCAGACCTTCCCCCCCCCCCCGACTGCAGCGATTGGACAGACCTCTTGCTGACTAAAAAATGCCGTAACACGTCCAAAGTAACTGCTATCCACACCTGTCCTGTCTTTGCTTGCCTTCTTCGGGAACAGTCGGGATATCGGACCCTTTCTTGACCACTGATAACGCAGTCTCGGCAGTGCCTTTCATTGGCGACACGCCTGGCCGGTTAGCCAACTGGGTAGCACAAAACCTATCCTACAAAATGA